TCTCGTAGCTCTCGACTAGCACTGGACAAGATTTCTAGTCCGAGCTCTGGAGGCGGCTGAGCACCGTGAGTGCGGGCGAGGTCCCCATCCGGAAGATTCGCGTGCATTTCGTTTCCGTTTTGCAAATCAGGAACCTGTGCAGGCTCGTCCTGACTTGCAAAATGGTCTTCGTCATGAGGCGGGTCCGCCTCGCGATGTGAGTGATGGTGTTCACGACACCAGGAGTCACAATGATGCTCAACAAGCCCACGAAAATCCACATGCTTTAGATGCCGTCCGTCCCACTCGGGAAACCAGTGCCACGGCCCGCGGTGACACGTGATAACGCTGTAGTGCAGTTTCTCGCAGAAAAATTTCTGCCCGTAGATGTCATCAAGGGCGGCGCGCTTCTCCTCATTATTTGTGTAGACGTCGAGTGCTGTGCTGAGAAGCTCGCGATTGGTTCGGCGCAACTCATGCGCCAAGTACCGAACTGCGTATGGATTATTGCGGACGGCAAGAAGTGCGATCTCGTAATTCGCCCGAACCTCTTTGCAGGCGAACTTGATTGCTAGCCCGTTGGTCTGCACCGCTAGCCTCACCAGCCATTCGCTGGCTCGTAATCGGTGTGACGCGTACTTCAGAGCAGGAAGGCCGTCTATTTTAGCCACGCAGGCCATGGTGTCGTTGTCGTCCCAAAGGCCCTCGGAGGCATACTGGATCGCCCAAGGCTTATGCCGCACGCAAGTTCGGACCAATTCAGGACTTGCTTTTGAGTCGGCTGCGAAGTACTTTAAGGCCCACCCGCACTGACGCGCCGCGTCGGAAACAGTCTGCGCATCGGCCATTTCCCGAACCCGTTCTGAGGCATACTGCAACGCTCGCCAGTCGCAGGAAACCGCCGTGCGCACAACCTCCACGTCATCGCGAAGTGCAGAGCACAAATGCTTCAACGCAAGTCCATTGGCTTTGCATGCAACAAGTGCGCGCTGCTTGCTTGAGGCAAAGAGGCGCGCAAAATCCCACGGCAAGGACAGCGGATTCAGTGACGGGGCAAGAAACATCGGCATGGCAGTTGTTAGAAATTTCGCCAAAAATGATTCGTTTTTGCGGTACTCGGGATACATGTGCTGTACGACCTTAACGAGGTAGTAGGGTCGTCCACCTCTTGTCGGGTCGCTGACATTGGCCTCCTCAGAATCCGCTTGCAATTGCTCGCGCTCCTGTTCGTGCTTCGGCCCTTGGTCGCGATCCTCGACCAAAAAAGCTGCCTGCTCAGGAACGTACCCACCACAGTTGATGCTATCGCCAAGAGAAAATTTGACTTGCTGCTCTACATGCTCAGACACCCACTCTAGGGTTTTTGAAGCGCGTTTGTCAAAAATGACAGACAGCATTGCGACCTCTTCTGGAATTGGTAGTAGTGGATCATAGAAAAAGTCAAGCTTTGATGAGTCATCTGCAGCGTCCTCAGCCAGCTGCTCGTGATCGTCGTCGGCTTCCTCGACATCATCATGAGAAGACGATGTGCCGGTTTCGATTTTTTTCTGGTCCTTTTCGTAATGCCAAAAGTACGAGTGGTCCTCGGCGGCGTAGCCGGTGGCAGCTTCGACTTTCTCCATTATGTTTCGCAGCAAAAGCCTCGAGTCAGAAGCTAGTGAGGTGGCGTCGATCTCTTTTGCTGGGATGCTTTCGGATGCATTCCGTTCCTTGATAGAATTTTTTTGTTTCAAAAGACTCGAAGGGAGACCTCCATGCTTTGCAACCTCGGACGTGCTGACTGCGCTATCCAGGCCGTGCGGATCATTTGCTGCTTTGGATGTGCGTTTGATTCGGCAGACTGGATCGCCAGCAAGGTTGAAAACTGTGACGCAGCGATCGACATCGCCATCTTGCCGGGGATGCAGAACCTCAACTGATTCCTGGCGTCCCACGCCGCGCGGTGCGTTGTGCAGCTCGTTTTCGGTAGCGGACTCGTCTCTGACGCGGAGGTCTACACAAGCTGAAAACGGTGCAGCGGTCATTTTGCAAAAGGCACAATACTCAATAGTCGCTGTTGCAATTCATAGCACCAATCCATATCACCGACAATAGTGTGTGGATACCTACAAATCTATAAATATTTGCCAGTATCATCAACATGTCCAGCAGCGAAACTGGTAAGGTTAAGGCGCTCTTCTTGTGGTTCTACGGAGCAAGGTCTTCCATTAAGCTCGCTGTTGCATTATATCTTTGATAAGATGCGCACTTTTTTTTCTCACCCCACATAGCACGAGAAAGAGCAACGGAAAAATAATATGCTGAGTCTAAACACGCAAGCTGTCCTGCGCCTTTCGGATTGACGTATCGGGCAGTCGGTTGAAGAACAAA